TTTGTTTAAACTCTTGGCTTGCAGGTGGGGAAATATTGCTCATGCTTTGTTATGGAGGCAGCATAATTCAGCTTCTCAGACCTCTGTGCAAAAGCTTGAACTACTGCTGTTTAATGGGGGATATTTTCCATTTTGCTTTTGGAAAATGAGCATCCCTGCAATCTGAAGATGGACCTTGTCACTGCCAAAGTGCACATGATTAAAGTTGTTCCTTTTTCCTCAGCTCTGGCTCTGGCACAGGCTAGAGCAGCTGCTAAACCTGGTTCTTATTGACATCCAAAGCTCAAAATCAATCTACCAAGTGATACCATATGCACATCTTTCTTCAAATCTTGTTGATTGTCTCCTTTGCTATCTTTAAGCCTGACTCAAATTGAGATGTGAAGTTGGTGAAAGACTCTCCAGGGACTTCAGCAGGCTTTAAGGAGAAGTTGATATAGAAGGTGCAGGGTAGTCCATCAGGCACTTGAACAGATAATGGGAGATGTGAATGTTCTTCTTGGTTAGGATATTTATCTGCCTGCTCCCATTTTGTGCCTCTCTTTTCTTATCTGGGAATAGTTAATTATGTCTTTCTGGTGAAAAACTAAAAGATCAGCTGATAAAAAATTCTAAATAACTCTTTTGTGTCATTCCCACTATTGTTTTGTGTTAAATTTTAAAGAGCTCTTTGAAAGATCATTGTTCACACAACAAAATTTTAGGGAAAAAGTAGCTGTTTCTCTCTAAACTTGGTGAGAGGGATAAGCAAATCTCAAATCAGAACTGCTGCTGTGGAACACTGAGTAGCAAATTCTGTGCAGAGTATGGGATACATATGTCTGCTTGTTTAAAAATAAAATCTGCTTATCTTCCAGAAGGTTATTCCATGAAATGCTGTAATAATCATTTCTCCTCTACCTCTAGGAAATGGATAACTGAAAAAGAGGCTGGGAAATGGAAAAAAAACGACAGAGGCATAAACATTTTTATCTAAACCAAGTCAAAAAGTTTGGCTTAGGCAACATGATGCATCACCCCGTGACTGTTGGTAGATGGCAGCCTCTGTCCTTGCACACACGGGCGCTGGAAAATATTCCAGCTGCCTGCAAATGCTCTCACAGGCCTGTGTGCTCCCACCTGCTGATACCCAAGCTCAGCAGGAGGAGAAAGAATTTGCCCGTTTGTAGCAATAAGTTTCAGAAGCAATTCCAAGCACAATCCAGTTTAGGGCTAATAATGAACGGGCTTTACGGCATTAATTAAGTATCAGAACGTGGATTTAGGAGATAGCTGTTGTTAGGGTATGTTTCCAATTGATAAGTACAGGCAAAAGCCTTTCTGACATCTGGTTCAGCAGGGTCTTATCCTTCTCTTTTGAGGCGGCCGTGCTGAGGCCGAGTGGTTTTTCTCTGGTGGCAGGATAAAACTGGGTGTGTTGCCGCTGTGTTTCTGGCTGGAGCTGTGTGAGCCCACCCTGCCGATGAGTCATCCTTCGAGTGGCTCAGAATATCACACTGTGCCTCGCTGCTTCCCTGTTCCTATTACACTGATGCATTTGGGTCTCGCTCGGTGTTGGCGTTTCATTTACAAACCTCGCTTTTCCCATAAAGATGGCTGCCAGCCCTGCTTTACCCTGATGTTCAGCGCTCTTAGGTTTTTAGGAGAATGACTCAGATGGAAATTTTAAAGCACATTTTTAAAGCACCTTAGAACATTTTTCAGAATATGAATTTTTTTTTTGGTAGCCTCTATTTTTTTTTCCTTCCAGTATTGGTTGTTTCTGCATATGATTCAGACTGAATTTTCATTTCTCTCCTAGCAAGTGTTGAATCAAGATATTTAGACCAGCAAAAGAGACCTGTGTTCCTTCCCTGCAGTCTTTCCCTGCCACCCTGTCTGAGTCCACATATTTCAGCACCATTTTACAAGAGCGAATAGAGTCAGATAAGCAGTGGAACAGATTTACATGTCTCCTGTTTCCTTCTCCCTCACTCACAGACAACCTGACTGTTCCAATAAATCAGGTGTGGACATAGCTTGAAATTCAAGGACTGTGTCACCACAAGAGAAAATGGATATAAATAAATCTACCTCTTCTTATTTTTTTTTGTTGTTTTTGTGAACCAGTTGTTCCAGGTGACCTGAGAATGAAGATACTGACAGATGTGAAGCAGTCATGAGGTAAGAGTCCAAATGCTGCAGTGGGTTTTGCAAAATCCAGCTGATGGACTTTCTGTGCAGTGGAACTTGCTCTGCCAGCATATGGGGAGCCACATCCATGAACGGGGCCATCCATCCCAGGCCTGTGTCATACATCAGGGGTTTAATCAGGCTTAAAAAGTGCAGGAGAAAAGAGAGATGCAGTGAGAACTAATCACCTGGATTTTGTTTTTCAAAGTAGTGCTAGGGAGTGCTAGTGAACACACCTCCTTCTATGTCCTAGTGCACCACAGTGAGTCAGATTTATTAGAAACAAGGGGAGGAGTTGTTAGTTAACATAAGAATATTGAAAAAAGCCTCTCCATTGCTCTTCCCAATAAGCATGGAGTCAGAATCGCTGCTCTCCATATAGATGTGTAACTAAGACACACATATTATTGCAGACCCTCAGCAACCTGATAGCTGAGCTCAGATCTCCCCACTCCCTGCACTCAGCCACATTTATGTGGTTACCTCTGGTCCACTTCAATGCACAGCCATGCAGCTGAGCTGCAATAACCCCTGTGGCAGCAGCACACACGCTGCTGGCTGGCTGTCCCTGCTCCTGCGGGAGCTGGTGAGCGTGCCTTTGGCTGCCAGGATCGTGGAGCGCGCAGCAGCTGCGCCGCTCATGAACACTAGGTAGCTCCGTGGGATTTCCAAACTCCAGACAGATCTGTTGTAACTCTTCTGATAAATAGGTTTGCCCTTTCAAGAATTAAATATTTGAAACTATACAGGAAAACATCAGTGTGCTGGAGTCATGCTTTTGTCCCACAGGGTAACACTGTGGGTGACTCCACATAACTAGAGGTACATACAGATATTAGATAAAAGAGGAGCATCAGAGCTGTTGGGTGCACATGATGATTTCCAGTGCAACTCACACTTAAGCTCTTCAAGATCTGCCCTCTTCATTCAGGCACCTCTATAAAAATACCGCAGCAAACACAGTCAGTGCTCCCTGTGGAGTCTCCCATGGAGGTGAATCCCTCCCCACGGCTCAGTCTCATCCTGAGGTGCAGCAGACACAGCGATATCCCACTGCTGCTGCAGTGAGTGCTGCTTCACAAAATGGGCACTTAGACACATGCCTTCATTTGTCCTCCAGAGAGGTGTTGCTTGTAGCATTAAAAACATTCTGTGTAATAAAAGTTCTGTCTTCTACCATCAGCCACGTTGTGATGTTTGCATTGTCCTTATGATGATCATTAGTGGGAGGCTGGGCAGGGATGTGAAATGCACTTAGAACTGCGCATAATCTGCTCTGTTTACATCAGTGCTTCCACAGAAGAGTTCAAACAACAAGCAGGGCAGATGCTTCTTAGGAGCCTCATCTCTGTGCTAAGGCTCTGGTTTCCAGGAAGCAATTTCTCCCTCAAGAATTATTTAATCAGAGAAAAATCTTCCGGTACTTACAGACACAACTGCTGCTGTATAGAACTTGTATTACAAAGAAAGTACCACAACATGGAACTGCTCTGAAGGCTGAATGTTTTTCTGAAGCTACAGGAGAGAGGCTATGGAAGATTGTACATAGCAGTGCCACCTGCTATGCAAAATAACTTTCAAAGGTCAAACCTTTGACACTTAATCAGGTACAAAAGGCATTTATTGTAGCAATTTTACCCCCAAGGTATTATTCATTAAATGCATTTCTCATCTATTTCCTATGTTCAGAAAATGTGTTCTAGGCAGTCTGCAAGCTTTGCTATCGCAGCTCATTTCTGTGTGGCTGTGGAAAGAAACAAATTGGTACAATAAAAAAAAAAGAAGAAAAAAGTAGTGTCTATGCTCCACTTACAAAAAGGTGCATGTAAATTTGATTTGCTTCATGTGGATTTAATCAATGCAAATACAGATGGGGGAAGAGTGTCAGTGGGAGTAATGGGTCGTTTTTATTCCTCTTTCATTGCTTGACCTGATGAATCGATCTACCCCGTTGCTAGGAAAATCAGAATCATGCTGACATGAGCATCTGTCCTATGTAGACAGGAGAGAGTTTATGTTGTAATCTAGCGCTTAAAATTCACAAACTTTCCACAAGTGGCTGATGCCTCGCACAGCTCCTTACAAGGGTGAAAACAACGGTGTGGCAGAAGAGATGGGGTTCCTTCGGGTTCTTCCGTAGGGGGCTTTTGCGATCCCGAGAAAGGCGAGAAGCCACGGCCCGAGGAGAAGGGCGGAGGGGGAAGCCGTCTGCCGGCTGTCGGCAACCCCTTCCCACGAGTGTGGGCACCTGCCGGGGGGTGACGAGCACGAAAAGCCGGGCCGGGGAGCCCTGGGAACCGCGGGCAAGACAAGAGGAGCCCCGGGATGGAGCCCGGCACCAGAGCTGCGCCGGGGCCGCGACCGCGGGAGCCCCGCGTATCGCCCCGCGCATCCCGGCGGCGAACACCCACCCCCGCCGCCCAGAACGTTCTGGCCGGCCCCTGCCCGTGCCCCTGCCCGTGCTCTCCCCCTCCCCGAGGCGGACAGTAGCCGTCCCTCCCTGGGGACCCTCCGCCGCTGCGGAGCCGGCGCCAGGTGCCCCAGGACTACACGTCCCGGCGTGCCCAGCCCGGCGGGGCCGGCGCCTGCGCGGGGCTGCGGGGCCGCTCCGCGGTGCCACACCCCCGGGGGAGGGAGGCAGGAGCGCCCGAGCCCTCAAACCACCGGGGGAGCCGGCGGGGCGGAGGATGGAGTAGCGGGGCGCGGCGGAGCAGACAGCGCGGGGAGCGCCGCCTCCGCCCGGGGAGCGCGGGGGAGCGGGCGGGCAGGCGGGGATGATGCGCGGGGGGACAGCGCGCTAGGGGCAGGAGGCGGGTGGTCGCCCGGAGACTCCGCACCTCGGAGTGACGTCCTGCTGCAGTGCCGCTGCCTGCGCTGCCCGAGCTCGTCAATGGAGCTGGAAAACATCGTTGCCAACACCGTTTTGCTGAAAGCCAGGGAAGGTGAGAGAGCGGCGGGAGGGGAGAGGGGGCCGGAGCATCCTTGTCGCAGTCGCCCCTCCGCGGAGCGATGCCCGCGGGATGCGGGCGGGCACCGGTGGGGATGCGTGCCGGTCCCGCCGGCGGCGGCTGTCGGGGTGCCATGTGGCTGTGCCGGCTTTGGAAACGGCTTGTTTGAGACAGAGCCCCGGTGAAAAGGAAAATACCGCTGTTTTTCCCTGTGCGCGGGGCTTTGGGAAAGGAAGTGAATGAGATTGCAGAGATTACAATATTCACCCATCTCTTCCTTCCCCCTTCCCGCCTCCCCCCCTCAAATCTGGTCCCACAGATTGTGCTATTTCAGCGTCTATTGTTAAAGGTCAGCTGCAGATGCATTCATTCAAAAGGGCTTAGCAAATCTGCAAATAGCTTTCCGCGCCGTGTGGTGAGACCGGCAGGATCGTATCGCTTCCCCGTACAGTCATTGCCTTATTCGGCGTTATTAGGTGAGATCATGTTGCCGCAAACATGCCTATTGTTGAGAGCGTGTTTGTCCCCAGCCGGAGCCGGACAGAGGGGCTGGGGGCTGAGCCCCGGCCCGCGGGTGGCGTGGGGGTCTCGGAGCGGGGGCTGTCCCCCGCGGCCGCCGCCGCGCTCGGCCAGCGGGGATGCTCCGGGCGATGCCGGAGCCGCCGCTGCTCGGCGCGGGGCGCCCTGAAAAGACGCTCGGCTGCGGCGGGGGTCTCTCAGCAGCATCCCCGTCCCGACCCCGAGGACTCGCAGAGACAACCACCGATGGATCGGGCTCCCGGGGCTTGCTTTCCCCCCGTCGGGAGCGGACGCGGTTTCCTCTCCCCGCGCGGGCGGACATCCTCCCGCGGCCGCGGGGCGCGGAGCCGGGCGCTGGGCACGGCGGGGCTCGGGGCTCCCCGCGGAGCCCCCGTCCGCCCGGGAGCATCCCTCCGGCTGGAGCGGGAGCGCCACGCACAAGCAACACGTCTTACGGCTGCGGCATCGCTGCCAAGACGCGCTCGCCTTCTGTCTGCTCCAACCCATTTTTATGTTTGTGTTTATTTACTTGCTTGCTGCTTAAAATACGGCGTTTTTCCAAGCCCTTGCTCAGAGTTTCTTCCCTGAAAGCACTTGCTGGACCAGGCGTTTTTAGGTGCGGTACAACCTGCAGCCTGTTCTCCGCTGTCCGCCGGAGCTGCCTGCGAGTGAGGCTGGGCGCCCCTTGGGTGGGCTTCAGCTCCGGCTGCTCTGAACCTGTGGAACTACGAGTAAAGCAGCGCTCATTTTGTGAGAGATCATTCAAACAGTCCGCCCCTGGAGCGATCCTTTTGCTGGGAAAATAACTCAAATTGTAAAATAGTGTTTATATAACTCACAGGCTGTTGAACTTTTGAGGCTTAGCTAAAGAGTAAAGTCCTGAGATCCTCCCAAAAAAGCTCTACAAATAATAAGGGCAAAGGTGTTATCCCATTCAGCAGATCAGTAAATTATAACTTTTTGCCTTCTGATGGAGATCTTTTATTTTCTGTTGTCATTTTTAATGTTGTTTAGGATGTGGTTGTTGCTACCAGTCATACAATGCCGGTTTAGATTTCAGTAGACTTTAGGAATACTTTAAAGGACTGGTATTAATTACAGTTATTGTGAGTTGTTTACAGAGAGCCAATATTTTGCAAGTAATTTTAAATGTGCCGCTCAGTTTTATGGTCCTATTCTACCATTCTCAGGAAGATGGTTACAGTCACGTCATGTTGCTTTATTGTGTTAGACTTGTATTAAAGAAGCTGTTAGCTGCAATCCAAATGGCAGAAATTGATCAAGATTTCCACAAAACTACACTCCAACTGTTCTTTAAACCATGTATGAACCTCCGGCAACATTTTTTGGAGGCCTGGTGCTGATTTATTTTTAAAGTTTGGTTTTTGTTTTTTGGAGGAGATATGAAATTTTTTAAGTGAAGAACAAAGGGCAAATTACATGCCTGACATCAGAGCCACAAGTATTATTGCTGTATGAGATAGGTTGCCACACTTTAGTTATTGTTGTAAGCTGCACTGAGTAAAGTAGTTTTTAAGATTTGCATTGAGTTAGTTAGGTGGCTTTTGTTGCAGATAAAAAAGGCAGACAACATATGTAAGACCAAGAGTAAAAAGCAAGTTAATATATTGAAGATTATGGCACCTAAAAATAAGTTTGTTCCAGGTCCTGCAGACTCCCTCAATAGATTTAGATGGGTGAATGTGTAGCCTAAGCCAAGTAAGTGCCTGTGTGTTTCCACTTGTGAAGTCAAAAGCTGAATTAGCTCAATCACACGCTGGTTGGTGCCTGCAATGTGGTCCTTAATGTTAGGAGGAGAAAAGTGATGGGATCCACTCTGCAAATGTTAGTTAAGGCAGAAATTTTGTCAGAATTGCAAGGGGAACACAAACCTACTCTCAGTAGCAAAGGGAATGTCAGAGAGGTTTAGGTAGAGCTGCAGTGTGAAATCCAGCAGTGAGGACATTTGAAGTAGTCAGAAGTCAGGCTGAGTGGCCACCATTGTTTTATAGCAAATGTTTTATAGCAAATATTGGTTTAAATTTTGCAACTCCTTTGCTCTGGCCTTGGTAGTTTTTCGGGGTTTTTTTTTCCTCCCCTTTTTTTTTTTTCCCTGTGGTCCTTTGTCTAAGTTCCTTCACCCCTGGTGTAAAGTGAGCTTTTTAGCTGAAATACCAGGGGGCAAGTTTTATAACTGCTACACAAATACTTGCACTTAAATCCTAATGATCACAATGAGAAGCACACCCAGAATTAACTGATGCCATGTGAAACATGAGTAATCTTATTAGAGCAACAAAAAGAGTAAATGTGGTTCACATACAAAAATGCATTTCAGTGAATAATTTCAAGCAGAGAATAAATTTCAGGAAATTTTAATATTTTTGCAGAATATGAAGGTTTTGACACAAAATTACATGTAAGTTACTTGTTATACTCAGAAGTCTGTCAGTTTGAACATGTTAGAATGGAGATTTACTGCATTTGAAAGTCCATTCATTATTTATTAGGAGTAAATTTATGCTGTTTCCTCAACTATAATTTCTCATTTCTTGAATGCAAAGTTCCATTTCACAAATCGCTAATCCCTTTTCAGACTGAATAGAAAATGCATCTAGTTTAATTATAGGAACCAAATAGGTATTTTGGAACTATCTAGTATTGCCTGGGCAGAAGAATAAGCTGAGAAGGGAAGACAAGAAAGATCAGAGTCATAAAAAGAAAATCAAAACAATAACAATTGCAGTCATTTTGAGTTGAGTAAGAACCCCAGATTGTGAGGTGGCAAAACATTTATCTGGATCTTCATGGCATCATTGAATGGTTGGGTTGGGATCACCCAGTGCCACCCCTGCCATGGTCAGGGATGTCTTCCACCATCCCAGGCTGCTCCAAGCCCCATCCTGGCCTTGGACACTTCCAGGAGCAGCCACAGCTGCTCTGGGCGCTCTGTGCCAGGGCCTTCCCACCCTCCCAGGGCACAATTCCTCCCCAGTATCCCATCTATCCCTGCCCTCTGGCAGCGGGAAGCCATTTCATTGACTTTTCTTTTCATCAGCCTTCTTGTTCCTGAGTCTCAGCAGCGGTGTCTGAGGCACAGAACCACCCAGCCATGAGCACTGCAGATCCACCACGCTGCCAGCAATGAGCCCAGGCTGGGCAGTGAGTCCCAGTTCACCTTCCCAGTTTGTTTGGCAGAGGGCATCATCAGAAACAGAGCCAGGAGAGACCAAGAACTGAATCTCCTGAGGTCTCAGAGGAACTTCAACAGTCCTAATCCAGAGAAGATTTAGCTTGTATCCAGAGTCTTGAATCTACCCTTGCCTGCCAAAAGCAGTAAGCTGATAAAAGACAAGTTTTTTGAGAGATAATTGATAAAAGATAAGTTTTTTGAGAGACTGATAATTAAAGTAGAGTGTTTATATGCAAAATAAACAATGGTGTGAAGAGCATGATCAAAGCATGGTGATTACCTGAACACCCTTCCTCATGAGCTGTTCTTTCCTAGCCATAAGGTCAGCCTTCCCTGATGTTTCCTGCTGCTTCTGTGGGCATGAGCTTCCTCAGACAACCTGAAACACATTTCAAAACAGAAATACAACTTGACTCTGAGATTGCAAAATTCTTTAAAATTTTGTACAAACAAACAGACAATTCTCACTGCTTTGGAGTTTTAATGATAGCTGTGATGTCTAATTTAGTCATTAGTTTTAAAGTAGCCACTTTGGAAGATGAACTGTGTTTTTTTGTCAAACCTAGAGTTTCTAAAGCGCAAAGTTTACCATGTAAAAGGAAAAAAAGAAAATCTTCAACCACTGAAACACAATGGAAAGGCTTTTTTCCCTTTTTAGGTAGGCTGAAATTCTAAAATAAGCTTATTTATGGCACCCAAGCAGAGCCTTCTATTGGCCTAGACAAAAGGAGTGACCTTTTATACTCTCAGAATTTTTTGATGAGTGCACACTGATGCCATATAACATGCAAAATGTGCCTGTTCATAAATTGCTGTATTTTTAGCTTTCTTTTGCAGGATGATCACAGGAGAGATTTGTGTGTGTCCGTACTGGCAAAAGACTAGCAATAAATCCTAAACATGAAGCGTGATTGCTTTCCAAGAACTTGGCTGCAGAGCACTTGGAAAAAGGGCAGGAGAACAATGAAAAGCATATTTTGAAGGAAAGGAGGTGGCTATAGTGACAGCCAAAACACTATGGAGAATATGGTTATTGCAACTTCATTAAGCAGTGCACTGAATGCAGAATCCAAGGTCCTGTCCCCCATCCCTTGACGTAAACCCAAAATGTTTTGTATGGAAAACATTGGAAGCAGAGGAAGCTTCCATGTGGTGTCTCAGTTTAGTTTTCTTTTTTGGAGTTCAAGAGAAGCTCACCACTGTAATGGCTTTCAAAAAAAGTATTTCAAGAATGGAGTCAGCCATTGCTCCAGATGCAACAGGGTGATTTTAAGCAGTAGTT